TTTAGAAAGGAATCATCTAATGTGGTTTCCAAAAAAAAAAAATTTAAGAACCATGAGTTTCTTCAAAGAATATTTTTTTGTGTAGAAATTCAACAGAGTACGTCAAACGTAAAATGAGCTGCACTGGGGCGTTGGGACCATCACTCCGCCCATTCACCCTTCCCCCTTGACAGCCAACTTTGCGCTCTCCCTGTGTGGCCCCAAAGCAAAGGTAGGTGGGGAAGGAGACAAGGAGAAACCTGATGCTGCCAGGCTGGCTGGTGAGCATCCTGTGCAGACAGGCTCCACACCCACGTCTTGGAAATGTGTAATAAATTCATTGTCACTTAAGAAAGAAGTTGTTTCTATGGCATTAGCTGATTTTCTATTTTTTTAAATTATGGAGATATGATAAACACACTATATCCTCTTCATAAATTAAAGTGCAGAGCATGTGTAAGAGAAGGCTGAGTGCTGTAACGGGGTTTAGATGAGATGGTGCTTCCTTTGGTTGAGGTGAGCAGCGTTCACAGTGGTGAGAAAGATCCGGTCATTAATGAGAAGGACAGGCGGATCCAGTTTGGAGTGACGGCACTGGCAGAGGGCTGGCATTCAACCGAGGTCATCTGGAGCGCGAGCAGAATTAGATTACACCTTAGTTAATAACCATCTTGTCGGTTTGCTTACTTTTTTTAAATTTCATTAAACTCCTTAGTAAGTTTCCAATGTGCGTTTTTAAAGACACAAAATTATTTTTTGTAACTAACATATATACATAACATGCAGAGGACATACAAGAAAATCTAAAAACCGAGATAGTGTATTTCCATAGACAGAAAATAAGGGATGTCAGTTCTTAAGGCAAAAGGCACATGACCATCATCAAAAAGGAGAGATATACTACAAATTCCTAAATTCAAACATCCAGCAGTGGTTTTGTCTCCCTTCCCTTTAAAAGAAAAGGAAAAATGAAGACACTGTTATTCTATTTCTATTATTTATTCTATTTCTATTATTCTATTTAAATGTGGAATGTAGGTTTTTAGAGTGAAGTAATTCTCATTGGAAACTTGAAAGAATACAGAACTATAAGAAGTCAGGTGCAAGGTGCAGCTGGGACCTTCAAATAGGAAGTTTTTTTTTTTTTTTAATGTTGGAAGATGGATGTGCACAAATTGTATAATATCAGGTTTTATCATTTTCATTTTTATAAAATAGAACAGGTAAAGTAACAAGGCTAGTAGAAACCCTGACTCCTAAATTCTGATCTCTGACCATTTACTATTGTCCTGTCAATAAAGAAACTTCTAACCAGGCTACAACTTAAGAGTTTTCCAGGCTTTGGTAAGAGTTACAAGATGGACAAGAAGTGACCCAGAGTCAAATAAAATCAGCAGAGTAGGGTGGAGACTTACCATAGAGTTACACTGTAGACAAATGTGTGTTTTCCAATGCAGATTTCCCTTCCTTTGGAGCATGAATCCTTGATTTTCTGAAAGACTGGTCAATTTTAGAATATGCCTTTGGATGTATGTAAGTTCACTATTTGTGCAGTTGAAAATTATCTTCTTCTCCCCTAAACTTTTACAGAGTTTAAATTAGATTTTATTTTTATTGGCAATCTAGGTTGTAGGCACTCACAATTAAAATCCATACGCAAAAAAAAAAAAAAAAAAATTAGAGGTGGGGAGAGGCCAGCTCAGGGGTAGAGCGCATGCTCAGCATGCATGAGGTGTTGGGTTCGATCCCCAGTACCTCCATTAAAAAAAAAAAAAATCGCAGGTCATTAGTACTTGTTTAAGAACCATTCGCAATCGACCGAGACCGAAGTCGATGCTACAGCTTGTCTTATCACGGCAACAGCTGCATCGACAGGGATCATCATTCAGAAAACGTAGGTCGCCAGCTGTCAGATCTGAAGGCCATATACCGGGACGCATTTTATAAATGCTCACTAAAGCCATTTAAGCTTTTGTAAGAATAGTAAACTTTCATATGGTCTAAATAGCAGCCTTTATGAAAGTTATGAAAGCTTTTGTTCTTTCCTCTCCTCTCCCGAACACACACGTGCACATGCGTATGTGCACATTTTTCATACGTGTGCGGAACTTTGTATAACATCTGGGACACATTGGGGAGAGACGCCAGGCCAGGTCGTGGACATAAAAATGCAGAGTCAGCTGCACAGACCTGCACAGTGTGAGTGAGCAATGAAACGTCTACAGTTTGGACTTCATTCTTTAATGTGTAACTCTCAGAACACATGTTTAAAAACTCTAGGTTATTTTTCCCTTATCCGCCTAAATTTTTAAAACATGAAAAAGGCAAATAAAATCCTGTTATACAGGGAATCGTTTTCTCTCTTTTTTTAATCAGTGGTATTTATTGAAAGAATTATTTCCTGGTTTGTCAAGATCCTTTTGAAATTGAAATGCCTCAGAGGTGAGGTAGGGCTGTAATATATCATATAAGATATTTAGATTTTATTCCTTTTCTGTTTGAAGTGGCTATCAGCTTCTCTCTACTGAAGTCACAAGAATCACATGCTCTTTTTGCAAAACTATGAATTTAAAAAGGAAACTATCAATAAGGTGATATTATTGATTATTACTAATTATTATTAATTTCACTGTTAAGACGCTTATAAATATGTTATAAATTCACAAGGTCAGCAGTTGTATATATCAAAGCAAAATGTTTTTACACATTTACATCTTCGGTTTCATCTTTAAAGTGGCCTAGAATGGTTTGATCCATGCTTAAATTTCTGAAAGTCTGAACCTATCAAAAGTTGAAAGAAGTGTATTTGTAGCATTTTCTCCTAGGAGCCAAACAAAACTGGCCATCCAGTGTTAAAAAAAAAAAAATACAAAGTGCAAAAATATTTAACTATAAACCATAACTGCTGAATTTCTTCTCAAATTCCCAGAAAAAGTAGAGGTGCAAAATCATGAGAACAAGAAAAAAAAAGGCAAATCGGTAATTAAGCCAACGTAGACGACCATGGGTAACTTTTAGGTGTGGAAAAACAAAGACAGTTTTAGGATGCAGTCACATTTGCTTTCATCATAAATTCTTTACAAAAGATGATGAATATTTATCAGTATTTCGGGGGAGATGGCAATCAGGTTTTTGAGGAGCTAGAATGCATGGAGAGGGTGGATTTCATACATCTCTTCATTTACTCCTTCCCTCCTCACCTGTTTTCTTCCTACTCAAAACCCATGGAAACCTGATCGGTGTTTTAACGCTACTGAATAAAATTGTATCATTTATATTAGTGACCAGTTTTTCAGATGAAAGATGTCCAATGTTAGGAAATCCTTCCTGTGCGTAATGATTTTTTGACTGGGGGCCTAGCTCCATGGGCTTTCTAGCCTTTAAAATGGCAATTATTTCTAACTGCTGTGAAGCAAGGGCAGTCTTTCTAAAAATGATCAGTTTTCACTAGTGTTCCCTTTGAGAGAGAGGTTCTCTCTCAACACATTTCTTCAAGAACCTGCAACCTACTTGTTTGTTAGCCAGAACATCCCCTGCGTCGTGCAGAATGTCACTGTGGACCCTGATCGTGTCACAGCAGCCTTACTGAGTGAGAAAGTGAGCCTCCCTGCATAAGCCTGTGTTTTAAACACACAGTGATGAGCAGGCAGTGTTTCCATGGTGATGACGTGGATACTTTCCATTGGATGGTCTACCCCAGTGGAGTTCACTGGCCCACATGGTACCATCTTTTTATAAGTGGACAGCTTACTGGTCAACGTTCCTTTCCAACTACTACCGTTGAGCTGAGGCTTTTGCATTTGTCTGGAAGAGCAATTCAAACCATCATCTACCAAAATGTGGCCCAGGAAGCTCTAAAAATGAGACACCTGTGAAAATTCTTTCCCTTTATACATATGGCTTCTTTGAGTTATACTTTTCCTAACCTTGTGTATTACTCTGTCATTGCTGTGTGGCAGGATAACACGTACCCAGCAAGAGCTGTGTT